AGCGAGAGAACGAGAGAACGAGAGAGAGAGGAGAGGGAGAGAGGGAGAGAGACAGAGAGGGAGGGGGAGAGAGAGAGGGAGAGAGAGAAGGGGAGAGAGAAAGAGACCAACCGTTTGCACTGACTCCGTCTCCATTCCCCGTCCTTCAGCTCCCAGGGGATGGTGGCGTTCAGCAGCTCGGCCGGGGTCGCGTTCAGCCCCGAGAAGCTGGCCTGGGGAACCCGGCAGTGGAAGTCGGGCTCGACGGCGAGGAAGACGATAGCAAATACCTGGAAGCCACCGACACCAACAGGCAGGCAGAGGAGAAGGAAAATCCTCCGTTGCCACGGTCCAAATCCGCCCAGGTACTTCATAGCTAGGTCGTAGTTGACTGTGACCTAAGGAAAACCAAGGACATTATACCTTGGAAAAATAAACAACGCATCCTTTTTTGTATGAACAAGGACATATTTTATACAGACATTGGTATGAATAAAAAAAACTTTACATTGTCATTGTTCACAATGCCCTACAACAAGATGCACACTTCTCGATGAAATGAATCAAGTCATTCTTATGTTTATAATTGTGAATGGTTATACTTAAGCATACTAAAGTGAAACACAGTCCTACTTTACTTGGGATGTAGGCTCTTCTCGGGAGTTAATATACGAACCTGCACTTCATCCTTTTCTCCACCAGGTGGCGCGTTGTCGAACACCAAAGCTTCATCGCCAAGCTCTGTCTCTGCCATATTATCTTTTATACAGGGTAGAAAATGATATCGGTCAGACTCGTTGAATACATATAGCAGAGATCACCAGATACGTATGGTTCCACCAACTTGTTAAACAACTCTATATAGCGAACAAAAACCACACTAGTTTGTAAATAAAGAAGACACTAGTGCAATCTACCTACTCAATATTTTGTAATAATCACCAACCTAGAATTGAATTTCCCCATAATTGTTCATAACTATCGTACCGTATGCCACTGACTTTTGTGGTTAACATACTTGAGCACCTGTTACCCCTACAGAACATTCCATACGAGTCTCACAGACGCCATGATTGTATACACTTGTTCTGCTAGGATGCATATGCACAATTAGGCCGCCATTGTAGATACATTGTACTTCACTTCATACGAATTTCACAACAATGCCTTTAATAGGCGTGCAAAGTGCTTGTCATGTATCCATACACACCTCTGTACTTGCTTTTTATAGGCTCGCTGTGTCAAGTAGAGAATACGGCCAACCCTTGTCTAGTACAGGGTCTGCACAGTTCTTCTTGTGTTCAGTTGGCCGCCAGTTTTTCGTTCGTGTCTCCCCTTTGCGTGACCCTGACCTGAGTCCGCCACTTTACCCTGAGGATACAGCCAGGTGTGTACTAGTTCAGCCGGTTAACAATGCCAGACAAACCCTGTTGGCCATTCAATCCATGCCCGTAGCCAGGGGGGGTTCGGGGGGTTCTTTCCGAACCCCCCACAAGGCTCAAAGGTCCCCTTTTTATGTAAAGGTCCACTTTTTGGTCCACATTTTATGTAAAGGTCCAAGATTTTTCTTGAAAAGATGGACTGGAATCGTAGAAAAACTGCTCCCTTTGTCATTGAATAAAAATTTATCTCTGATTTTCTCTTGGAAATCCTCTCAAAAATGCACGATATGCCATTTTAGAAGGTTCATTTTTCAAAATTTTCCGCCCTAGGAACCTCGCGCATTCGGCGCTCGCCTCGCGCCAACGGCGCTCGAGGTCCACTCAAGCAGTGGGAAGAACCCCCCCCCCCTTCAAAATCCTGGCTACGGGCATGCAATCTAAATTGTATCTGTCAATGCGATTTCTCTCTTCAATGTTGGTTTAACCTCGACCTCATACATGTGTTTAAGGAATTACTGTGGCTTCTGATGCATGTAATCAGTGTTTTGGTCACGTCTCTGATGCCATGAAGCAACCAAAAATCTCATCAGTAAACTTTTTATAAATAAGTGTATTTCGGAAGTTTCGTATGTTTTTGTCTTTCAGATTATACCTTAATGGCATGGATCGCATTCGAATTATGAAGCCATACAAGTTAACACAATTGCAATTCTGGTCACTTTAATATTGGTTAAAGTTATAATCAGTTTCGATGCAATTCGTTGTATTATAGCGTATTTCATCTTCTTTCGTGTTACAGAAAAGTGCCAATTTTAGCACTAAAGGCTCAGTGAAAAACTCAGTCTTCCAGTCCAGGCTTTCCCACGATGTAAAACACTATCGATCATCACGGGACAACAGACGACAGGGCAGCCGGGCGAGGTCGCGCCAGTCACCGCTTACATCCATCAAAACAAGGCGGGGAAGCTTTCTGACATATATGTGACATGATTCGATATTAAATGCCGATTTCCAGAAATACATCTCCAGTTAAGAGCAGTCAGAATATGTACTTGTACTTGTAATAAGTGTTGTACCAAATTATAAACTTCATCTTATGCAAGGCAGAAAGTTTGAACGTTTGTATTTGAAGTACATAAAAGCTTTGACTTGGCTTTACATGTATAACGAACGATAGTAATCATTATTACGTTCTTGTACAACTTCAGAATTTTTTCTGAGGTTTTAGCGCTAAAAATGCCAATTTTGTGTGAATTTGATGGACGGCAGACAGACGTCAGGAGGCAATCCTTCTCTGTCAGACGTTTGATTGACAGCTGTCACCAGCGTGTCAGTTCGACAAGTTGGGGACAAATAGCTGATATAGATTTACCGGATTATGTCAACTGATCGTCTCATGATTTTCCCATCATGTGGTTCTGAAGGACTCTCCAAGCAGAGGTTTGGGGTTTCGCGTTGGATGCGGCCCTGTCAGTGATACGGTCTTGCAGTCAGCAAAAGATCTGCTTGGAGATTAGTTTGAAAGATTTACGTTCATTTACCGTGAACTTGTAGCCTCACTAGCAGGCTTATAGAACTGGGGGTTTGGTGGTCTTCGGCTGTTTTCTGATTAGCCCAGTTCTAAAAACGGGGGTAATTCAACCAGGCCGGCTATGTTGTCTATATGCAGTCAGAAAATAGCACATAAAAGCTCCTAAAGACCCTGAAGACCCTCAAAACCCCCAGTTTTTGGCATGCTATGGAGGCTATTATTAGAGATCTATTACAGGCCAGTCATATATGTGAAAGAACATTTCTCGAGTTAAAACGAATCACTTCACAAAACAGTGTCAGGATGTTGTGTGTTTATACCGGGTTTTGTTTGTTTACATTTCTGTGCTGTTTCCATTTTCTACATCACAATCACGTGTTAATATTTTGGTTTCACTTTAAGAGTGTTTTGGTTTTATGCTGTCAGTGTTCACCACCTTACAGTACAACATATGTAGTACAGTAAATACGCCTTGACTTAACTTGAATTTGATACTTCATATAAGACATCTTGATTTCATATACTTCCGGTGAGATGTTGCGTTGTCAAGAAAGGTTTATCTCCAAGCAGATACAGGGTCTGTAATGGGAAGAGAGAAAAACGCTAACCACTGCACTTTACGTTGCATTTTTATACATATCAGTGGCATGTATTACTTTTCAGTGTCAAAACGAAACTAGTTCGAGGTACGGAAAAATAATGATCTCCAAGCAGATATCAATGTTGGAGTGGAGGAGTAAAAATTCGACAAACAAGCAAACAAACAAACAAACAAACAATCAAACAGATAACTTGCCAGGGGAGTTCGCTAAAGAGTACAGTTTGCCGCTCCTTTAGTGTAATGACTCCCCTGACATGTTATCTATCTGTCTGGCCAATTTCTATTCTTTCCAGTCACCTCTGAAGCCTGAGGGAGGCTAGGCATTTGGCAGTCTCCACAAACAGATCCTACGGTGGGAGACAGTATCCACTGGCCAGAGGAAATTTGAGTGTCCTACACTCATATGGCCAAAGCATGCTGTCTCTCCACCGTAGGATCTGCTTGGAGATCAGACATTAGGAACAACATCTGCTTGGACCACCCGGTGAATCCTGTCGACGTCCCTATTGTCACTACAAGTTGTCACGTTGTCACCAGAAGTTTCAGCTGCCGTCTGACGGAGCCCAGACGGGCCGACACCGGCGTGCTAACCCCGATCTGCCGGGCCCACACCGGCGTGCTAACCCCGCTAATCCTCACACTCCGAGCCGTACGGACCGTTCCCAAGCGGAGGTGATGATGACGGTGATTAACAGATAACTACCCGGGCTTTGTGTGCTCCCGTCCCCGCCTGGGGTGCTGACAGAGCTTGTATAGGGGGCGGGTTCAAAAGGCGGACCGCCTTTTTGTAAGGATTATCCGCGAGACAAGGTGCGGAAAACCGCAGACACACGACAGAATAGTTTAATTTGGACCCGTGAAATCTGCAAAAGACAATCCGATTTGGGAAAATTAACACGATGAGACGGATATGAAATAAAACATAAGCGAAGTGTGGGAAAAAAGAGAACTGAAATTATGCGAATAGAATTTAGAAAGCATCTTACCGACGAGGTTAGTTTCTGCCATTGCAGACCTTTCTGAAAATAAAGTTAAAATTGGCCAAAAATGAGGTGAAATTTTTATCAAGGGACAAAGATTTCGTCCACCAATTACTGCTAGTATTAAAACCAGCCAAGTCCTTTGTCCAAGGTTTTCTTTGTGTTTTCTTTGTTTCCATACAGAGTTTTGGTAGAGACTACGCCTCTTTCTTACAACAACTTCGACGAATATATTTGCATCGGTCACTGGATTCTACATTCTTATACGCTCAAAATAACGAGTCCCAAGTTCTATCTACAAAGCATATTTGTAGACCACGTTTGGTTAAAAAATAAAAAAAAACTCCATGCTCCAGCACGCCACTTCTTATCGTTTATGTTTTTTTTTTCAACCAGCGAAAATGAACAATAGATATTTATTTTCTTTTACTCGGTCGTGTGAACGACTGTGTCCTGGAGTTAGCCTTGTTTTTAATTTTAGATTACTGTGTTTTTATTTTACTCCACTTGATTGAGACATAAACTGTTAGAGCGTGGAAACTGCCAAGTGAGAATAGTTCATACAATAATAAAAGTCAAAACCAACACATGACAGTGACATCCAGGTATTTCTTACTTTTAAAAGCACTTTCGGACTTAAGAAGCTTTGGTTTCTTCTTTTAGTGTCAGCCTGTATGGGTACCTTGTATTTTTCCCCGTTTATATTCCGTGATGTACATGTCGTATACGACCATTGCTTAGTTCCACATGAAAAATGTCCTGATCATTTTTTGTAAGAACTCGCCAGGGGTCTTGCTATTTCAACGACTCTGGGGTAGCTTGTTCCGAGAATGTGTGAAAATGTTAGCCTCTACCAGGCTTGAGGAGGCGGCTGGAAAGAGTAGAAATCGGCTAAAATAGAGAGATAAGCATGCCAAGGGAGTTTGTCCGTTCAGTTCGCTCATGCTTATCTCTCTATTTTGGCCGATTTCTACTCTTTCCAGCCGCCTCCTCAAGCCTGGTAGAGGCTATGAAAATGCCGCTACACTTTTTGCCATTTCCCTCGATATTGAATGTCGACGCTTTATCACTGGTCAAACTACTGGACCACTCACCATACTAGTATATAAGCTTTTAATTTTGTGTAACTCACTTTTCTGTCCCTAGAATCCTTGCACCCCCCTTCTTACGCTTATTTAGAGAAAGTATCCTATATAATGTAATGTGTGTGGGGGTGACCTTACTATTATATAATACTAAAATGGAAAAGTCCAAGCTAACTATTGTTATAGTCTCGCTATCTAATCTACTATAGAGATACAAAAGTATGGACAAACAATAAATTTCAACTTGTAAAAATAATTTATTTGATCTGCCATTTCTTCAAGAACAGAACAAGTATTGTAATCTTTTATATCGAACACAATATGCATAATAACTGAATCTCAAAACACGTAATACATAATCAAGTGAATATTATTGCCATACAGTAATGGCATACAGGAAAAAATTATTTATGTACAGATATATAATATAACAGACATTATCATAGCTAATATCAAAACAAATATAAGAACTCTTACGAAACGTTACAAAGATAAAAGACATAAAAGGTGAAAGTTTTTGTCCAAGCGACTTTGAAGATGTACAAAAGACGGTGTTATTGTAACGGCCAATCAAAGGATGTGTAACATTTGCATGACAACAGGATGTAACGCCCTCGGTGTTAGGCAGAACATTAGCGGACATGCGCAAGACAAGTGCTGTCTGGTACCGGTGTCCCCGGCTGTACAAGAGTGTGAAGACATAAATTATCTCTGGTTGCCATGGTTTTTCCTGTCTAAAAGGCGTTAATTTCGCCGCATTTCTTCTTTTATCAATAGGCAAGCGTTCAAGGTTATTTTACACAGTTTTAGACAAAAAAGACGAAAATACCATTGCGTTTAGATCTGTTTGACAAATTTTAGCTCTATCTTTGCAACATATATTTGTAGGGCGAAGGAGATACACAGAATACGACATACTAAGGATAAGCTAGCCTTCAGGCAGGCTTTGGGCAGTAAAATTGAATTTCTGGAAAATCTACAAACATTATATCTATAACACACAAATGACATTCACAGAGTAATAAAAATGTCAGATAATAGAGCCTTCAAATATTTACAATTTAGATATAGAATAGTCTCTGTTCTCTGTAATACCTAGGCTAGTGAACCAACTTGAAGTGCAGATCGTCGTCGTAAAAGCTCGGCGAGGTGACCTGTGTGTTGTACGGGGACAGAGGCTGGTGGTAGACCGGGGAGCCTTTGGTCGCGGGACGGTCCGTGAGTCGCGAGTCCAGTTCGAACATGGAGAGGGGAACGGTCGCGAGCGGACTGTCGGGGGAGAAGTCGTCGGGAAGGGACGGGAGTTCGCCGCGGATGTCTGGGATCGAGTCTACGTAGCTCGGGAAGAAGTCGATGTAGTCCCCGAGGGGGAAGGCGGCAGAGTGGTCGGGAGGGGTGGCGGGGTGCACCGCGGGCAGGTCGTCGGACAGAAGCGGTGTGGAGCACTCCGCACACTTGCACAGCGGCCTGTGCGTGAGCTGTGTGTTCGGGAGAGTTGTCCTGTACAGGGGAGAGTTCCTGGGGTTTGTGGCGGTGCACGGCTCGTTGGTTTTCCCGGTGTTCCCGCCGGGCGCGCGCGTGTGGACTGCCGGCGGACGCGTGGCCAGCCCCGGTGTCCCCTCCCCCGCTCTCGGGGCGAGCTGGTCCAATTTCCCGGCGGCGGCTCTGAACGGGGACGCCAGCTCGCACAAGTCGATGAACTCCATACTCGACTCGGAAGCGGAACTCTCCACGGGACTTCCGCCGATCTGCCACCCGACTTCCGACCCTTTCTCCTCCTCGTCCGCCGTACCCCAGAGGCTGAGCTCGGGAGACATCGCCATCTCCGCCGGGGCCGGCTCCCCGGGACCCCGCTCCAGCTCCTCCTGTAGGTACTTGATGTAGCGCACGGCGAAGCGGAGGATCAGCTTCTTCGGCATCCTTTTCTCCTGGCTCAGCTGGAGTCTCTCCGGCAACTTGTCCTGGAGCTGGGCGAAGGCCTGGTTGAACACCTGGAAAAGAGTCGATAATTTAGTTCAACTGTTCTAGCATGAAACGCACACAAATTTGAAGTTCTTTTTACCATTGCCACAAAGCAACTTGTCAAAAAGATAACAGTAAAAGAAGCCATCACACTAGTAACTTGAGTTCGGTCATTGTGAAAGAAAAAGTGAGAGTAAGATATCGAAATACAGAGTCTTTCAGTAATGCAGTATTTTGTAAAAACTAAAATAACATTTTCATGTTGTTCTTGTCATCAACGTTGGCACGAAGCAAAAGTTTCTTCTCAAATTTCAATCAAAACTTGTTTGGAGAATTGCAAGATAAACCATCAAATTGCGCAAAGACTGTCGTCTTCAAACAACAACTACTCACAGAAAGTACATCATCTACAGAAAATGTTTCAAACTTTCTCTTACCACAAGTCTTTCTCTCTCCTTGACAGCAGCGTTCGGTCGGGGTCTGTACTTGTACGGGTATTTCTTCTTCGGCTTGGGGACCTTCTGCTCGTCTTCCGGAGCCTCGGGCTGCTTCTTGGTCTTCTTCTCAGCGCAGTCCTTCTTGGTCTTCTTCGGCGCCTTCTTCACCTTTCTCCGCCGCTTCTTGGGGGGCTCCACGGTCCTGTCATCGGCGGGGAGGACGGGGATGTCCTCGGGTTCAGGCTCGGAGCGTTTCGCTCGTCTCTCTCGCAGTTCGACCGGCATGACTTCTCTTGGCGATGTACGATTCAGAACTGAGATGCCTTGCCGATCCGCGAGCTGATTTTATGGTCTTGACACCGCGGGTGTTCGCGGTCAGTTTTCTGTCTCCAGTCGGCGAGCTCTTTGTAGCTCGGGTCCCTACCGAGGCGTTGACAATACACGAGGATTCTATCGTCTGTAATTCCCTGTTGTTTGTCTTCAGGCATCAGGAACGACACGCGACAAATTGAACCCTGGTGACAAGTGGACGGCGAGCGCTCTGATTGGTCCACGCACGGAGGCGACAACGCGATATCCGCGACCCGTTCTTTTTGAGATCTCGTCGGGAAAAGTCACGATTTTCTACCGAAAAGAGGTGACAACGTGGGAAAGGTTTCTGCTCGTGGGAACCGATATTTCCCCTCTTGAAAAATTCATAAACGAAAAAAATGAAAGAAAAGAAAGCTTTTTTTTGCGTGTTCTTTGGTTGAGATGTTTTAGTATCAATCACGATTTATTTTAACCCCAATCTCCTGTTGTTGATTTTATGATGCGGAATTGTTGGGTTTACAACCGCGAGCCTTTTGAGGCTAGATTAGGTTAAATCCACAGGGATTCTAACCCAGAGGAAGTGGTCGCTTTATCTTTTTGTCCTTATACAAAATTAGCCGTATGTATCTCTAACTTCATTGGTAATACGGAAACCTTTGAAGATTTTAGCTGTAACAAAAACGACAAATAAAAATAGAAAGCAATGTAGTGTACAAACGATATTTCTTGACTGAAAATTATAAATATTGTTCAAACCTTGTTCAAACAATGTTGCTTTACAGGTCAAATAAAACTACTTTCTATCTTTAGTATTCGTAGTTTTCGCTATCGTTTCAGCTATTTTTTGCACAGCCGAAAAGGCCCGAAACTCTTCTATTTTGGTGTTTTATTTTAGTCCACTGAGGGATGGGTGTACCAAGTGGTGCCTAGTACCGCAGGCCACTTGCTAGTAGCACGTAAATAGATAAAAATTGATATCTAATTAAAACGTTCGGTTCGTTTTTCTCTTTGTTTCAAGATGAAATAAGTGCTCTTTTTTCACAGAGTTGTGGTCCAGTTTATTGCCTTGACTATCATGACAACATTTTTACTCTCCTTTCCGAAATTCCCAGACTTTTTTCTGCTGTCGCATCATTTGAACTTCGACTACTAGGCCCTAGAGAGAAAGGTGGCGATTTTCTAGCCTCTCTGGACAGACGTCCTTCACACGGTTTGGTTCCTGTACAACTTTTACAAGTCTCCTTTGTCTGAACGCTAATCTTCAAGCAGATGTAGGGTCCGGACCGGTCGTCACAGTATGCCTCTATCTGTCTTCTCCTTCCGTACAAAATGTAGTCTCTACCAGACTAACTACGCTGGCTATATATAGCAGAATATTTGCCAGGGGAGTTTGCCCGCCTTGGGGTTTGACTTGCCGTGTAGTTAGGGGGAAATCCACCATCTTCTCTTGCAGACTGACTCTCCTTTACCGAATCGTCTATTCTAGGATCCGTACCCCCGTAGGAAGGCCTGGTGGAGGCTAACAAAATGCACTACGGTATCATAAATATGTACTACATGACGCAAAATTACCAAGTCTACTATTGCGATCTGTTTGAAGCCTCTACCAGGCTTCAGAGGCGGGTTGGAAAGAGTAGAAACTGTGCTCATTCAGTGGACTAACTCCGCAGTCATGTTATCTGTCTATTTGGCCAATTTGTACTCTTAACAGCAGCCTCGGACCTGATAGTGGCAATATGATAATCTGTTTCACGTCTTCTCGTGAGTGATGATGAAAAGTAGACGTTTCCTAAATTTGCAATATCGGTTGTAACCGCTGGGTGCGCACGCTCACGAACAAAAACTCGTGAAGCCTAACAATTTCTCAACCGCTGCAAATTCACATAACCTGTGGCTTGCCTGAAAATCCTGGCTGACAGAAAATCCCTTTTGTCAGAAAATTCAGGTGAATATTCTTCTGCATAATGTCCTTGGGTGAACATAAAACATCAAGATCTATGCTCTCACCAGCTACTTTTCCGATCTTTACATAAAGGCACAACAACAACAAAATATTCAATAGGGATATAAACTCAAACTTGAAAATCAAAATTTAGTAGATCATGAGAAATTTTAGCATAGCATTAAAGAAAAGAGGTAGAATTTTCAAGGATATCATGTATATCATATAAAACCATGGAAGTACCTCCATGATAGAATATAATGTCCTCGGAATTTTACAGTCTAGCTTCCGAATCCGAGTAAAATCATTCAGACTGGCAACGCTACAACAGCCCACAGATGAAAAACACTAAAACACTGCCACAGAAACTACCAAAAATAACCCTGGTTTAAGAGGATAAAACAAAAATCGATATTTCTGAGACAGAGAGGAGAATAGCTCTTGTAAATAAGGAACGTTGTGGCGCCATGTTGGGATGACGTATGGATTTCCAATAAATATCGTCTGCGGCTGACAGAAACAGTAGGAGGTGGGGAGGGGGTGTGTACGGGGCGGGCGATGACGTTAGCTGGAACATACCAACTAGGAGGGAGGGGTTAATTTCTACTCTCTAATGACAAACATTTGTCACTCACTACTTGTGAAGATTACTAAATTTATTCTAGTATATTCTAGTATATTGCAACATTTTAAACCCCCGTTTTAGGAATCAAAGTGTTCAGACAAAATCACAATCAATGGTTCACCATCCAAGCTCAATAATGGAGCATTGGTGCAGGTGGACTTTGCTGCGCACACCCCTACATACGATTACAGATGGTACCGTCCTGAGAATGTAATCGCAGCCCCGTAAGGTGAACCATTCCTAGTGCATTAAGGCAGGCGAAACGTGGGGCTGCACTGATTATATTATCTCAGTGAGTACGTGTACGTGTGTGTGTGTTACCGCAACCTTACGATTCAACCTGACACTGGCGTTAGTGTCTGTACGGTGAACCTTAAGCGTACGGGCGGAGCCGGCGTCACCTTAAGGACGTGCGTACGTGTGTGACGTGGAGCAAAAAACACGGGCGGTCGCCGGACGATTCGAACACAAATTAAGACGACATTACAACTGACCTTTAACAGAGACTGACCTTCAAATCGTTAGAGGAGCTACCGGAGAGAAAGTAAGTGGACACAGTTTAATTACATAACATTTTTGTGTCGACAATACGATATCCTAGTATGTTTCATTGTCACTGACTGTTTCCACAATAATATGACAACGGAGCTTCTGTTGTGATCATATCTCGTTTTTGAGTTGTAAATATTAAAACGGACACGTTGTATGGAGACAAGCTTACAGACAGCATGTTCACGTGCATGTTATAATCTTTGCATTTTCTAATGACTTTTGATAATATTCATGGTATTCTGTCCATTTTTTACCGTTTTTTCCCCAAAATATTGCCACCCAAATAGCTAATTCTTAAAGACTTATCCACATTGTTTACTGCATGGTCCCTATATTTCACTATTACGTACTTTACTGTATGATCAGGGTATATATATATATGAAATCACATGTCTTTTATTTGAATCCACGTGTCGCAATTCAATGCCCGAAACCAGTTGTTAGAAGCCACAGTATTGTTCGCTGTTATCATTATGGAGCCATTTGAAGGCTATGATGGCCTTGCAATTGCATGTACAATTCACCACCGTTTTCCAATGCGCACAATTACATGGCTTTTAGGTTTTGCAAATCCTCGTCCACTATTCCTAGTAAATATCATAGACGACAGATCTAGAAGCCGATTTCTTGTTTTCTCCGGACCGATATTATGAATATTTCAGAACCGTATATTTCTGGCTGTATGTTATTGTCACTGATGGTTTCCACAGACCTAGACACGCGCTAACCTTCACCCTAAACATGACAGGGCGACATGTTTAAATTTATTACCGTTATGACACGATATGGCCTATGTTGGATACTCTCCAAGCAGAGGTTTGGGTTCTGGCTTATTTTTGGCGTGTTTTTATGCTTATTTCCCGGCCTTCCTATTTTGCACAGGTACCTACTTTTATGCCAGTGCAAAAACAGAAAGCCCAATAAAAAAGCCTAAAACACGCCAAAAATGAGCAAAAACCCAAACCTCTGCTTGGAGAGTACAAGTATATGTTGGACGCCTGAGTATCACAGCCAAGTCACGCGCACTGATGACGTAGCTACAGTAATGATTGACAGCAGCGAAGCACGAACATGACGCAGTTCCTCACAGCCCGGGGCGTCAGTCTATATCGTTGCCATGACAACGCGCATTGATTTTTCTGCAACAGGGGGTGACAAGATAACAGTACAATGCGAGAAAGAGATAGTATCGAGTCTCAACTCTTGAGAGGAAAAAATCAGTTCTTCAACGATGGAGATGATTGAAACCACGCTTCTTCGGTAATGTTCCCTGAATCATGAAAGCCATTGCCATATTATTTCTCCACACTTCATAGCTGTGAACATAATATATGTGAAATACACATAATAACAACAGTAAAAATATGACTATGACTACAGATGGACCCATATTATTGCGGAATAATCTGTTGCGGAATATTACGTCGGATTTGAGAACAGATTGGTCAATGGATGATGTTATTTGAGGAGTTGTACGTACAAGATATAAAAGAATAGCATTGCGCCGTGTAGCATCAAAGGTGTCTTAACCTGCATATGGAGATGGTATTTCGATCCGTAAAATAGCTCCAACTATTCCCATATAGACATCAGTTTCGCCGGCCTGTATACACTTACACCTACTCTCTATACACTCTATACTATAGTGCACTACTGTCGACAATATCCTACGCAATTCCATTTTTCAAATGTTTTGATTCCTGTAAACACTACACCTCCAGCCTTTTGATTCTAACCGTTCCCATATCAGTTAGTTTTGTTTGCAGACACTTATCATTTCCGAATTATCTAACAATCAAGATAGAACAAGCAGGAGTGGCCTGAAATGGGAAAGTTTAATTGCTTTCCAAAACAAAACGCCATTCAGTAAGTTCAAGGAACATTCAAGTACTAGTAACCATATATCAAACTTATCCACAGTTAACCTCGTACCAGTATATATACTATCACTATAGCTAAGGTGGTGATGGGGAGGTGGTGGGTCGAAATTCAAGCGGAGCGGACCGAAAACATGAACCGTCTCCCCCAAAAACAGAACAAACTGAGAAAGTTCGAAGGTCACGGGGGGAGCGGTCACGTGGTTTGTGGGCCGAACGAAATCTTTTAGTTGTATCTAATTACGAAAAATTTTCATGCGGACAATTTTTCCCAAATTATCTAACAATCAAGATAGAACAAGCAGGAGTGGCCTGAAATGGGAAAGTTTAATTGCTTTCCAAAACAAAACGCCAAAATAAGAAGGCCAAACTGCAAAAGAAAAGAAAATGACCCACAAACGAAAGAAACAAACAAAATAACCTCCCCCATACCACAACCAACTTAAAACAACATTGCAATCAACATTAAACACAATATAGCTACTAGTAAGTTGTGCGGATCTGATGCACCATCCTAGCACAGAGTTCTAAACGTTTTTCCAACGGAACCTTCAGGTATAGTAAATAAGCATCTGACTTCCAGTCACCTTGAATACGAATAAGATCAACTGGTACACCTGCGTGGAAGGCAAATGACGCACCTCCGCGACGGCCACTATGCAATGAATAACATCTGGGATCCAAACCAGCTCTAACTAGAATTCTCTTAAACTCTCTGTCAAACACATTCTGAGTTAACGGTACAAAGGTAGATTTGTAGGGCTTTACAAACGCAGCCTCTGTGTTCCTATTCGTATTGAGACTAACCATATTGCGAAATGCAGTCACAGGACATAACGGCGAGTTCGGTATCTCAAGCACTGGTACATACAAGACACGTTCAGCACATTGCAGTGTTTTTGACCACCTTATTCTGACTAACAATACTCCTCTGTGTACCACAAAATCTCTCAGCATGAACTGCTTAGTAGGATCAAATGTACTCTTAGCTAAGAAGTTCGACTTCCGCTGGAAAGTAAAGAAACTTAACAATACAATAGTCCAAATCGTTGCTTCAAAAGGAACTGAAATGTCCAATTGTTCATAAATCCTGTGCAATACTGATGGAGTGAACGGCAATTTCTGATGAGGTGTATGCTGCATTCGCTTGCTGAATCCCCGTTTCAGTAGTCCCAAGTCCGGTGAATCAAACGCGGCAGTGTCCCAGCCGAACAATGTGTGCAAGGTCTTAAGACCGCTAATATAATTTGCAATTGACCCCGGTGCTCTGAAAGAACGACTTAAAAACTGAGAAAACGACTCTAGTGTGTCCAAGGTGGCTGGAAAGGCAGTTATATCATAAAATGTACAAAACAAAAGATAAGTCCTCAACTGTGTTCTAAGATTTGACCAAGTTCCTTCCGCGAAGGCAGCAAATTTTGTCCGACGTGCCTGTTCTCGCAAGTAGCTCAGGTCTGTCTCAGCTGCAACATAAAACACAAAGAGAGCAAACTGTCAGTAAGGGCAATCCAGGACGAAATCTTCCTGAAATACCGGTATTTCTATCGTGTCCACATCCTCTGTCAAGATGTGAAACTGTTCAGCATGTTTCGATGAGAGATGCCATCGCGACAAGTGGTCGGCGACTCGGTTCTCCCGTCCTTGAATATGCTCTGCCCGTAAGACGAAATCGCACGATGCCGCGATCAGCCAAAGTTCTCTCGCACTATGAAGCAAATCCTTGTCTCTTGAACGTCCCGAATTCAACACATAAACACACGCCATATTGTCACAGTTGATCACGATTCTGGACCCTCTCCAGCCTGGTCCCCACTTCCTGGCCGCTACCACAATCGTCAGCATCTCCAAGACATGTATTTTAGCTCCATATTGTTCGAGAACAGCAGTCGGGAACCTGGAGTGAAAGAACTCACCATTACAGATTCCCCCGCACCCTGTCAGACACGCATCCGTGGCCACAACTTCATCCGGTGCACAATAGATGTCCGGAGTCAATAGTGAGACTCCATTGAACAAGGTCATAAAACGTCGCCACCAACGCACATCCAGCTTAAAGTCACGAGACAACCGAATTCTATGATGACTCCTGCGGACACTTCGTAGTACTTCCAACATGCGCGAAATGAAAAGACGTCCAGGTGCCACGCATGCAGACACGAATACCAGTTTCCCAATCAGTGACTGAAGCTCGCGTTTCAAAGCTTTCTTCTTGTCAATCCACGCGTCAAGTAACAGTCTCACTTCCTCCAACCGAAACTGTGGGACTCGCTTCACCATCGCTACGGTATCAAACTCAGTCCCTAGAAATGTCATGCAGGTCGTAGGCTCCACCGCTTTTTCAACCGACTCTTCCAACCCCAGGCTGTGTAATGTTCCCTGCAAACTGTTGAAGGCCTCCATCGCGACTTGAGGATACTCTGCTCCCCCAAAATCATCTAGATAATTGCAAATTGAATAACCTTTCTTTTGTTGTATGAACGTGACTGCAGAGGTGGTTGACTGACAAATAAAAGCACTAGAACGAAGGCCAAAAGGGCACCTTGTATCAACATACCACTTGTTCCTCCAACAGTAACACAAATACTTGTAGTCTTTGGGATCAACCGGAATTTGTCTATACGCTCGTTTCAAGTCCGTCTTGTATAATAAACAGCCACGCCCCTTGTCTAATATCATATGCGACAATGTATCCACAGAGGGGTAGGTCAACTTAAACTCCTGTCCTAAATAATAATCCTTGGGAACAGCATCATTAATAGAGAAACCTGCCGGAAAACTGCAGTCTACTACAACTCTTCTCTCTATACTGTCTCTCTTCTCTACTGTCTGTAACGGAATCGGCACCGCCGGGAACGAAAAAGGATTCGAATCAAATGGTCCGGCTATGGCACCCAAACTAAGTTCTTTGGAAATAAACGCATCTACGTGTCCCGCATAATGTCTAGCTGAGTAATGATTCTGAAAGGATACGTCGACCGGGCGTTGATACAATTCCGGCTCCACATTAATCGGCCACCCGAATGCTAAGAAATCAACAATACGTCTGTCTTCATAGTCCACTAGTAGTTCTCTCCATGTATCGATCTTCAAAGCCGACTCCACTGGAACACGTGCGCCAACAAAGTTATGTCCTTCACACGCCGACACCACCCTGTGTAACTCGATCGCCTTGTCTGGGTGCGCTGCTCGCACCGCCCTGTACGGAGGGAGTGACGGAGGCTCTTCCACCAGCTCTTGCCTGAGCGGCACGAAAGGATGCTTCGTTGTAGGGGCAGCGGTCTCGGGGATGTGGCTCCTGGGTGTGGCGGTACACCAGGCAAGCGCTGCAGACATGTAGCACGTTACTATTCCATCTCGCACTCCAGTGCCCGGATGGCAGGGAACATGATCCTGACTGAAAACCGCCACAATAACGCGGTCTAGAAGTGCCTACTGTATCACGTGAGGGTGGCTTACCCGTCCGTGGCTCCGCCCCTTGAGCACTCCCGGTTGCAACACCACCCTGTGTACGATAATGTCTGTCCCTGATTGTGTCCAACATGTCGGAATCAGACCAAGTCACCGTCTCGTGCCTCCAACCCGTACAAAACCGCTGCATGTAGCTCTCTAACCGTGACCCAATCATGGTAAACCGCATCAAACATCAAGTCTGACAGATGACATAACTTGTCCTCGACCACACGGGGAACTTTGTGACAATGAGACTCGATCACATTCTTTACATAACCATGTACAAACATCGGTAATGTTAGTTCATCATAAGTCACGCCACCATTTTTTCCGTAGCCAGGGAAATGAGCCCTTTCTTGTGGCCATTCTATCTTAACACGAGCGGAGCTAGCATCATTTATGGTACGAGTGCGTCCTGTCTTACCTTTCTTTTGACGCCTGTCTCTTGAACGCGACTGGGACGACGAACTGTCCGAACTGGACCGATTCCTGCGACTCCTTTCTCCCCCGTTTACGCGATGAAGCAGCTCTCGACCTTCCTCTGTTGTCGCTCCGTTTTCTGTGTCGCGTTTCTCTGTTGTCGCT